CGGCTACCGGCGCAATATGAAGGCACCCTAATGTAGAAATCCGGAGATCTTGAAGCAACAGACGTCTCGAAAATATAACATAAGAAACAGAACTGAAAATGCAAAACTTGAAAAACTCCATATCCAACAGGAACCAAATAGCAGAACAAAACCAGCAAACTTTCCACATACCTGCCTTATTCGTATAGAATGTGATGTTAGTCGGGTCGAGCTCGATGGCTTTGTCGTAGTGCTTGTGAGCTTCTGCGAAATTCTTCTGCTTGTAAGCAGTATTCCCCAAATTCTTCTCAGCTACAGCCTGAAAGATAGTTTTTCAAATTTCAAATTCAAATTTGTAACAAAATTAACGGTTTTGAAATTCAAGGCAGTCTTACCTCTTCTGGATTTCCCATAGTAGATGTCCTTGATGTTCAACGAGGGCTACAATACGTTAGTATAGATGAGTGTGGTAAACCTATGTATATTACGCGTCATGAAACGCTGTGAGGAGTTTCAAATGCGAAAAAGGACTGGTCTGAGATAATAGTGCTGCACGCTGATTACTTTTCTACGTCAATTCGAGTAAATAAACTACAGAGATGAAGTCAAACAGGTAAAAGATTAGCTCGATCAGCGCTACAGCGTGAGATGGCCTGCGATGTAGAGCGCAGCAGTTTCCGCGCTCAACAGATAAGGGGAATCGCAGAAATCGTAGAAATCACAGAAAGGAAGGATACGTCCAGAGCCTAACAAGTGCTCTGCTTTGACTGCAAAGGTTCTACAACCCCCTGTTCCCAAACCACTTCCAGTGATCTAACGTTAAGGAGGCCATAGGTTGTCGGCAACTGTTGCTAGGATGCTGCGCATAATACGAAGAAAACTACAGTAAACGATCGGCCACCGTTGTGGCAATTTATGGCTGTTCCTTTGGGCATACACCAGACTTATTCGCTAGGCTAGGCTGCTAGGCTTCGACTGCTACGATATCTAAGCAGAAAACATTACATTTTGATGCTCTGATCAAATCCTTAAAGGCAGTGTCCGCGCACATTTGGAACTCCTCAGTTCCAACAGTTTACTGAAGCGTGCTCCTCATGCAGACCATAGCCCGGTTTCGAGTGCGAAAATTGCTTGTGAAGCGAGAATCGCTTCTGAAGTCTGAACAGAGCGCCCCTTTGTTTGTACCGAAGCAGGGAATCCTACTGGACGCCGAAGTTCGCTGTCATTGGCTGCAACGACACGTCCCGGCACGATTAC